GTCAGGTGCTTCAACCGTAAAAACCTGAGTGAAGCGATGGTGTAATTCAGTGATCCAGGTTGGTCTGGCATCAGCTTGAAGAACATTCGATGGCGCTCCCTCAAAGTTCCTAGTTGAACCCTGCATGAAGGACGGATCTGGTGGACGTGTGAAAACATCACAAATGAATGCATCAAGAATAGTCTGCTGCAACGTCATGCTATCCATCGCAAGGAGTTCAGATGATTCAATTCGGCGGCCTCTGCTAATAACGAGCCTAAAAGCATGGCCATGGTGTGCCTCGACTTGCCTGTTAAGTACTAAAGGAACTGTGCCGAACCAGAGTGTACATCTATTGTGCGGAGTGGTTGAAGGGCAATCCGCATGCAAATGCAAAAGGTGCAAAAGCTCATCAAGGTCAAATCTGTAGGGCAGAACGGCTGCAAAGGTGTGAGGATTGCGCTCACGGTCAGGGTCGGAATCATACACAGAAATGAGCGTAGATCGCAGCTCAAACATAGGGTGTAATGTTACAATAACCTGCGCAAACACACCAGCGGCTCTGTCCTCGGACTCAGGATAAACAATGGCGAGTGAGAACTCCTCGCCTTCAGCTAAGCGATCTTGCCAGGTTGCCGCAAAAGACGCCTTCCAAGTAAGAAAATCCTCATTGACAAGGACAATCCTGGATGAATGGCAACGATTGTGGCCGCCTCTGTGATCAAGGAACCAGCTTTCGATTCGATGGGTACTTCCTGGTACCAGATCTCTCATAGCAAGTTGATCCGTGAGTCTTTCCCAGAGATCTCGAATGCCTTCAGACTGCGCTTCCAGGGAGGCCGGATCAGGCAAAAGAGGTTGATTATCAATTGCATTATTTGCAGCATTAACAGCCTCTAAAAGTTCCTCCATGATGCTACAACTTGGCACGGGTTGTTCTGCAGATTTCAGGCTGACTTGTGGTCCAACCACAGGAGCAATGGAAGCCTGCAAGGGCGCAACATCCTCAATACTGGCATGGCTGGCCTCAGGACTAACTACAGGTCTAACCTCAGCCAGTATGCCCATGCCATTGTGAACCTTGAAGGTGTATTCTGGAGAAAAAGAAGCAGGATTAACCCAAATCAACCTATTTGCATCAATGCTAGCGAAGTAAGGGACAATCTCAGCAATATTCTCGAATGTGCATACTCTCGGTACTGCAATGGCAAATCGGAGGATCACACTTCGGGCGATTGGGTCTTGAAAATCTAATGAGAGCAGGGCAGAGGAATAAACCGTGGGCTTCTGTGTGATCAAAACATGAGCGATATGCTCCTCAACGTCAGCACGCGGGCTGTGTGGCAAAACCAAGTCAAGAAACACTCGCTGGTTAGGATCAATATGGAAACGCCAAGGGTATGTGATGTCATCAAACCATTCAGTCGGGTCGCCCCCTAAGATGGCTATCTTAGGAGCAGTGCACAGTCGGCTACTTTCGTGGTTGAGCAGCCACGTGTAAACCGAGAAGACTGTCTCATCTTGTGGATCAGCGGCACAATTTCTGACATGATGGTCGACAACCCTCTGCAAATCAATAAACCAGTCAGGCGGGATTTCACTGCTTTCATCAGAATGCTCACTACGTTCAGAGCTGGCAGAGGGCACCGTCAATTGCCTCTGCATGGCATGGAAAATGTCATCCGCAAATCCCTCAACGCCTTCTTGCAAAACATTGGGTGTGGCAAGCGCACGTGCATCCTCATCAGCTAATAGGCTAGGTGAATAACCCTCGGCTGGGGCACCATGATCCATGTGATTCATGATTTCAACATCAGTGAGATCTTGTTGCGTCCATGTCACCAACCGATCCGTAGGACATTCAAATCTGTCGGAAGGTGGCAAAGCAATCCTGATGGTGTCACCATGGACAAACTGTCGAGCACGGGTGTCATAGTCCGGCCAACGAACAGCATTGTGAAAGACTAGGCATCTACCACCTTCAGCTTTACAATACTTATCAACGTCAGCCAGGACAAGAATCCCATTTCGGTCGGTTCTTTCTGGCACCGGCAGCACAAATCGTTCCGTTGAAGGACCGAGACGAAAATGCGATTCAATCCTATGCCCATGAAGCTCCAGGTCAAAAAGTACGAGTCTGGCAGCATGGCCGACAGGGATATCATTAAGCAAATGTGCAATGATAGGTGTGACATCAGGCGGCAAATCACGTAGGGGAGTCACAATCTCATAAGCATCAATGATGCCCTGTCTGTGCAAACCAAAATGATGGGCAAGTTCAATCACCATGGACTCATAGCTGCTCCAATCAAGGAAAGCACGAATCGGGTCATCATGTAAATGGTAGATAATCACATCTTGCCTATAGGAAGACACGGAGGAAGGGGCAAGTGATTGAGGAACATCGACAGGAATATCAAAAGATTCTGCTTGTCCTGAAGATGTAGAACTTCCCTCATCCTGTAAAGCATGCATAGCAGAATCAGCCGTACCATGCTGCAGCGAAGCCTGCAGGGCTGCTTCTCCAGGTTGGAAATCATCCTGCTTGCAAGTGACAGGGTTCGCAAACGACAGTTGCATGAAGGAAAAATCATCATTGTCCCATCCGTTGGAGTTCCAAGAGTCAAGGAGCGAAAATTTTGAAATAATCTGTGGTATATAAAATCCAGTGGAAATCTCTTCATTTGAAAAGGCGGCCGGAGGGGAACGTGGCAAGCAGGCTATTCTTTGCCCACTCCACGGTTTATCAGCCCAACCTTGCAGCCAATCATGTTTCATTCGAAATCCATGTAAGCAATCGGAATCTTCTGCACCCAAATGCACATCAATACAGTCCTCAAACCTCACACAATACCCAACATGTTTGGAATGGGGCTCCTGAGAAATGCAACTGGGTAATTCATGATTGGGAACGGCAGCAAACGGCTTGGGGTCAAGAAAGGATGCCCCTGCATGGCTCAAATCTTGCAAAACTTCCCAGCGTAAGCTACAAGCTTTAAAAGCAGCATCAAATGGATGTAGGAAGGTCGGTTCACACCAAATGGGATGTCGAAATGGAAGCAGAAAATCAAACTCAGCATCCTGAGTGCCGCCTGCTGCACCGCTCGAGGGCAAACAAGAGCGATAGGCCTCAACGGCATCTCCACGGACTGAGAGGTTAACGGCCTCGTGATTGGGATTCCAAGGAACTCCACAAACACGGCCAATACTCACGGTCGCGAGGGAAAGGGCTCTAAGGATCTTTGTCGCTTTTTGTTCTTTTCCTCGTCTTCCTTCTCCTCGTCTGAGTTGATCTGTTGCGGCAAGGCAGGAGCATCTGAAGCGATACCCAAGGAATTGGCACAGGCCTTGAGCACGTTCTGGAGTGAAGTCCGTAGCTTCTCCTCTTCCGCATTGGCTTCTTCTGTGGTCTCCGCTGCTGTATCGGCAGCATCTGGTGGCGGCAACTGTGGGAGGGAAGAGCCAGTTCCAGCTGCGCCTAAGACTTGAATCACTCTGCTCGTAGTCGTGATTTCGGTCTGCGCTTTGGTGGCCAAATCTGCCAAAATGGCCTGATGTCTGCGATAGGCATCCAATTGGCTCTCCCACAACTTGATGCCCTCGGTCAGATGTTTCAGCCACATCGCTCGATGGGCTTTTTTCTGGTCGTTGACCTCCTTGAGCTGTTTCTTTGCACGGTCCATATGCTTTGCAGCCTGATGGAGGTTCTTTAAGCCGAGCCTTCCTGTCTCCTTGTCCGCTTTGTCGAGCATAGCCTGGACATCCTCCGGAACCTTGTCGGGATCCGGGTAAGCTCTGCGCAATGCAGCAGCCATTTCCTGCTGGCCGGTGTCCAGCTGAGCCATCTGGAACGGGCTGCTCATATTGGTACTGGCTGGCAGGAAACCTGTTGAGTCCATCTCGGTCCAGGGGGTGAAGCCCTTGCCAGATTGGGGGATGAATGGGGATGACACTTCTGGAGCCGTGCCTTTTCCCTTCCCTTTCCCCTTCTTTGTCTTCCCTCCACCGCGACCTTTGTGGGCTCCAACAGATTGATCCCTTGGAGCTGGTGCATTGGTAGCTTGATGTCGGCTGGATGAACGCGACTTCCAGCCTGCATTGCCACGGCCATGATCTTGTCCATAATCCCAAGTCTCCTCTTTCCAGAAGGCGTCCGCATCGGGATCTCCCCAGGTATAGTTTTGAGAATACTTCTTGCTGGTCTTGGGTTCGGTGTTGTGACGCGTACCGGTCGACCAATGAGCATAGCAGACCGGACATTCGTCCATTGTCTTCTTGTTCAGCCGATGGCACCCTGAACACTTCCAAGGGTAGCTCTCTGCTGATGATGCCATTTCTCTCTTGATGTGGGCAAGAAAAGATGTATCCTTGGAATGGTGACGCTTGAGGATATCCCTCACTCTCAGCAAGCCAAGAAAATGAAGTCTCTTGATGCCTTTTTTGTGCAAAAACCACCGATGACGTGCAACAGCACGTTGCTTGCGCAACTTCCGGCGCACAGTGTCTTGCGTAATCTCTGCAAAAATCAAATACCACAATGTAAATGAGAAATAGCAGTAGGAACGAGCACATAAATGGTGAGCAGCGCGACCAAATAGGCTGGAACGTCACAGCCAAATAGGAAGGCACTAACCACCAAGCAAAGCCACAATTGCGTAAGATCCAGAATAAAATCAATGGAAACAAGCAAGAGCAGCTGTAAATTGTATTGCAAATCAAAAAATGGAAACCGACACCAGCGCTAGGCAGATCAGTGAGGGAATACCAGATGTAGAATGGTGGGTTTATGGATAACCCAAAACCAAGCCCGAGACAATGGCGGGAAACGGGCCGCGGGTAAAAGATCGAGCGAGAACCCGCTTAGGTAAAGGTTTTGAGCCGATACCTTATACTTCACATACCCCAAGTAAAAGGTTGAAAGACTCGGTGGTGGTTTCCAGAAAGGATAGAGTCATGATAGAGTCTTCCTAGTCTTCCTTGCAGTTTCCCTCAAATATCTGGCTCCAGTTCCTTTCGCTGAGGAACGAGTCCCAGGCGCTGTGGCGAAGCGTTGCTGAGTCCCTGGAGGGCTACTCCCAAGCGTTGGTGGCGGGTGCCATCACCGAGGATGAAGCAGCTGAAGCTTGTCAACTGAGAAAATTAGGGAACTTCACTTCAGTGACTTCAGTGATCAAAAATCTCCCGCGACTCCAACAGCAAGTCGCAGAATGCTACTTGGGACTTGGGATCATGTTTGATAACCCGCAAGTGGTATACAAGATGACTCCAATACCACATGGAGCAATGGAGGTAGCACATTTGTTTCAACACAAGCCAAAGAAAACTCTGACTTGCAAGAGTTGCAAAGAAATGTGTAAAGGCTGCAAAGGCTCTGGTGCTTTCCATCTTCGCTCTTTTATGTTTCAATGCTTTAATGATATCCATTCAATGTTTCAAAGGATTTTACCGCCGTTTTGCATATTTTGCATATTTAGCATATTTTGAGGAACTGGTGCGCCTGGTGCTGTCCACCCTCCCCGTTCCCGGCTCCGACGTCTCCGACGCCTCGGACGCCTCGGACGCCCGGCCGCCCCTGGAGCTGGGTCCACGTCCCGCCGCGGTGCTGACGCGGCGGCCCTCGTGGCAAGGGCCCGTGGCGCAGAGCCTGTGCCGGGCCTCGGGGCTGCCAGCGCTGTTGGATGTTTGTGGCAGGGCCATGAAGTGACGCCGAAAAAGAAATGGCAAATGTGGAACATTGTGGAACTGCCAAACCCCAACATGGCAGCCACATTAATTATCCATTGTGGTTCAGTACACCATATTCTTCATGTTGGCCAACCGGGGGTGCAGAATCCAAGAGTTTCCCCGGCCTTGAAAGTCATGTTTCCCCGAGTTGTCCTGCCCAAAGTTTGGTTCACTGGGTCACACTGCCATGTGTTTGTGAACCCGTTCAACCATGAAGAGTAATTGTGGTCAAGCAATTCTTGTGATCTTGACCCAGCTCACCACGTTGTGGGGATATGTTCAAAAACGTCCTGCAAATTCTATTCAAGATGTTTGCCCCTGCGCCTGATGGCCATGGATTGCCACGGCTTAGCAAGCATTTGGGAAGGTGGGAGCCGACGGTCATGCCACCAATTCAAGTCATTGCATCTGGTGACCATGGTTGGAAAGTCGTGTGTTGTGGTGTGTTGCCAATGTTTAGGTGGGAGCAATTCTGAGTTCCAACGCCTGTGGTGTTTTCTGTGGTCATCCTTTGTTCTCCAGGGAGCTGGCAGCCTGCGCTTTGCCCGCTGCGATGACCCGCGCTCATTGGCGGCATCTGCATGAAGGACTTAACCGGGCGCCATGGGCATATGATGAGAAGGAACTTAAACTGACCTCTTTCCAGCAGTGACGCCCTTTCACTCCACCAGCCAGCTTTGCGAAGTTTTGGAGGTTGAAGGTTTCATTCTATATCATTACACCGCATATAAAAATATAGAGAGAGAGAACATATATAATATTATATTATATAATGATATATACATAAATATCAACAGCATATCAACACACATAAAGTAGATCAACACATATCAACAGCACAGATTTGAAATTGTCAACGGAAACGCCAGGATGCCACAGAGCTAGACCTCAGGCACTCCCGCAGAGTCACTGCGGTGCCTCGGTGTGCAATTGGGACTAGGATTCCGCGAAGCTTCACCGGTCCCAAACACATTTCGTTAAAGGAACCTTTGGAGGTTGGATTTTGATAGGGGGAAATAGGGAAATCTCAAAATCAACAATCAACATCAATCAACTAAGTTTGCTCCCACCTTTGGGGAAAGCAGACGTGCTCTGGAGTCCTACACCGCTGGAATGCTGCGAATTCAGCAACGCCAGGCACTGGGTCGTTCCAATGTACCTAAAGTTCTGCAAGTGCTGGGACAGATGCACCGCCAGGAGGTTGGACCAGTCAATCTGCTGAGTTTGTTGTTTGGTTGCAGGATGTGGTTGATGAGACGGAAGTTGGAAGAGGGTGCAAGCCACTTAAAAGTGATGGCTTTCAACACCCCCGCGATTGGACACACCATACAATCATCCCAATATGGGACCATCAGCATCCCAGAATTCAAAGAAAGAGATCAGAATTCAAGATCACTGGAGCTTTAATCCGCCTGTCGATGTTCACATTGTACTTCCTTGGTTCCGTTCTGGGCTTTTGAAAGGTGGAAGCGAACGTCTTTCACTACAGCGCCGGCATCCACACCTGTGAGACGCATGGTGCAGGGATCGGCTCGGCTTCCCTAGATTGAGTGGAGTGGCATGTTTTTCCCCCAGCCGGGTATATAAAACCAGCCACACCCATGTTGGTTTGCCAATGTTTGCTGGGGTAGTTGGATCAGGAAGGCGAATGAGTGGCAAACGGCCATCCTTTTGCTGCAGCAGATGTTGGACCATCGCATCGCGCCGGACGCCGTGGCAGCTGGGATGGCAGCGAAAGATGTCACCAGGAATACAATGAGTCAGGGGAAACGTCAAAGAATCAAATATAGAATTACTATTTTGAATAGTTGTCAAGTCAAACCTGATAAGTCAATTGAGAAACTAACCAAAGATCCCATTTTCTTACTTCCTATGTTTGCAACAATGTTTTGCCGTTCGCACTTGGAAATCGCATTGGGGGTTCAGGGTTACCAGGTGTGCAACGCCACCATGAGCGTGTTGGAGAAGAGCAGTGCCCTGGCAGAACTTGGAACTGGATCCAATCGACATCAATCGACATCAGATTCTGTGATTCAGAGTGGTACTGCCTGACTGTCAGAGTGCACTATCGTTGTGTTATGTTGTGTTCCTTGTTTGCCAACACTCCTCCATGGCTCGAGACACTGACGCAACAAGGGTTTGTTGCCTGAATTTCACCAATGCTGAAATCAAAGGACTAGGTGAATTAGGCCAGAACTGCAAGCGGCACAATCCCATCCATCATTCTGGTGATAGTCTGATAGCCCAATTGCTCACAGCAGCTAAGCCAATCCCTTGGGTTTCCAGTTTGAAGGTCAGTGGCACACTGCATTGGACCTGATGGTGCAGCTGGCATGGCTAGTTGTGGAAGCCGACACCATCAGCACCTTGACGGGGTCAAGAGAACCGAACGTAACTTGTGGCGAATTTGAGGGCTTTTTGGTGATGGATGGAATATTGACAGCTGGATATCTTGGTGACACCTGGTGAGAGGTTGTGAAACAATTTTTTTCAAGCAGCCAAAGAATATCAAAGAATGACAAAAGAAGCTCTTGCAATTCCAGTGAGGTTTCAACTCCGCCCTCAGTGGCTTAGCGGCCTCCAAGAACTGGAGAGATGCCATGCACTTGGCACAGGTCATGGATTACACTGGAGCTCCTTGGACTCCTTGGCCCAAGATTTTCAGAGCGCTTTCTGATACCGCTGCAGTTTGAGGGAATCAACGGAACATGTTAGAAATTATCGCACGCCTTGGAATTGGGAATGTGCTCTATTGTTGTGATTAGTTTGTTTAGCGGATTTGTGGGTATGAAAGCTTGAAAGCGTTGACTCGTTGACGGTTGTTTGCCACTAACTGCAGGATGGTCGCTTCAGTTCATACATGGCCTTGCCTCACCCTTTTTCAGCTTAGCTGCATACCAGGCAACAATAGAAGGTAGGTGATGGAAGAGTTAAGATAGTTGCACAGAAAATGTTGTTCTCGAATTACCCCAGTTGTAACAGAACTGATTTTGTCTGAACATAGTGCACCCATTATAAAGTTCCCAATAAACATGGCCATTTTATGGTGCGGGGCGTAGCTTCTTTTTGAGACACCCCTCTCTCAGGTGGCGCCCAGCAGCATCACCAGCAACAGCTTGATCGATGCGTTGGAGCACTGGCCCAGGGCGCTGCAACTGCTGAAACAGCTGCCACAACGACGGAGGAGCTGAGCTGTTGACCTGGGGAATTATCCCAGTGGAACATCCTCATATCATTATACTATATGTTACTGTCATGTTACTGTATACTTTTTTGGGGTTGAGGTTTCTGGCACAAAAAGGAGGCCCATCAGCTATGAGCCAATGGTGTCAACACGGTTGATGAAGTTGGGACGAATCAGCCAGGGATTGGGGAAGTTGTTGGATCGATTTGTTGTGGTCCACCGACGTTCATCATTCCACGGATCCCAATTGGCACAGTTTTGGGTAACCTGTGGGCAGGACATTGGTCACGTGCTCCCGCTGGCACTTCAGGGGAGGGACAGATGGATGGCCAGATACTAGGTAGGGTGGAGATGGAACTGTCCAACATACGGGGCGAACAGAAAATCCTCAGTACGAGTAGCTAGCCCCATGATGATATTTGCATTAAACAGTTAAATAAAGTAAAATAAAGAATAAAGTTAAATATCATCAAATGTTCATGCTGTCTTTTGCTTCAGGTACAACTCCCTGATCTCCGCTTGCGGCCCTTCCGATCCCTCGGGCCGCTCATGGACTCAGGGGCCGGGTGCCGAACCAAACGGGCCGTGCCTGGACAGTGTGACGAGGATGTTTGGTCCTGTTAGGTGCATATGGGTGACATGAATGTCCAAAACATGGGGTTGGAGGACTTGGAGGACTTGGAGGAGGCATGGTTTACAGTTCCCATTTGGGTCCAAAACCTAGGGCTCGGCCGGCCGGTTGCGTCACTTGACATGTTCTGTGTCTTGACATTTGTCTTCTTAGGATGCAATCAGCTTGGCCTTTGGCGGCTTCGTTTCTGAGCATGCCGCTCGGTAAGAGAGAGTGGGCCACTGCAACCTCAGTCATTTGGCGTTCCTTGCTTAGTTCAGATGCTTAAGGTAGCTTCAACAACCGTAATCAGCAAAGTTCCCATTTGTTCAAATTCATCAAGTGAAAGCTGCCACGTTTTTCCTTTTACCTTTAAGGTCGTCGTTGCAAGTGCAACCTGATGTCATCAGCACCTAAGATGCAGCTTCAGTTCCTGTCACATTGGTTGGGAGACAGTGTTGTATTCGTCGTATGCCTGGTATGCCCCGGACCAGTCGCAGGGCCGTGGTATTTTTCATGACCGGTGGAACGGGAGGACAGCGGTCCCAGGTTACAATGCCACGATCAGCGCTTGTGAAAAGAGCTGCGAGTGGCGGCTGCCGTTGCACTTGTTGCAACACTTGGATGCAGATGTGGTGGCAGATGTGGTGAGATGCTGGGACCATGAATCGGCTTGGGTCCACGGCATAGCTGCAATGCAGAATTTACAACCACTTTGGACAATACCCAGAGCAAAGTCTACTACAGTTGCCATGCTTATAGAGACTCGTCAGTGTCACACTCGGCATACTTCAGAAAGAGAAAATGATGGTTGAGCAAATCAATCTGCGTTTTGGGTGCGGACAAGTTGCAAGGGTCTCCGGCATTTGGAGAAGCTGACGCAAACTAGGTCACTGTTGGCTGCGCTACTGTAGGGACAGCTTGAGCAGGGTCATCTCTGAGGTTGCAGTGGTGCCATTTGCGCCTGCCAGAAGGCGTGGAGAGCATGTTCGCTGTCGCCAGTCAGCCTGCAAAATTCGCGAGCCATCAACTTCCAGATATGTGGTGGACTCGGTGGCCCCCCCAAAAAAAAAGTAGAAATCCTCTCACTATTTTGCCGCTGTTTCCTTTCTCTACCTCATGGAAAACAAGAGTGTAGCTGGGGTTTTGCAACTGCACGTCTACCCTTGTTCCACTGTGAGTCAGGTCCGAGACTGGGAGTTGGCACACCAGCTGATGTGGAGGATGCCGCACTGCCGCGTGGGTCCCAACAGCTTCTGTCGCAACAGCGTCGGGAAACCAAGTTGTGACACTCCCGGACACTCCTGGCTCTTCAGAGGTGGCCCCGTGAAAAAACTGAGGGCATCCTCAATGGGAAACACTAACAGCCACTAACAGCACTGAGAATGGCAATATTCATATATATATATATATGCATCCCTTTTCATCCCTTTTCATCCCTTTTCATCCCTTTTCCAACTTGTCCACCTCTTTGCGTTGTACTTTGGCTCCGATTATAGCTGCCCAGCCAAAAGGCCATCGTGGCGGCAGATGCCTGGCCCAGGTGTCTTCAACTGGCAGGACACTTATGGCAAGGGAGGACGATAGGAACTTATAGAAACCAGCCCCGCGTTCGTTTTAGTTTCAGCGTGACATATTAATACTGGTCGGTGGTTTCATACATTTTTTATTTTCCATAATATATGGGATAATCCTTCCCATTGACTTTCATATTTTTAAGAGGGGTAGGTATACCACCAACCAGTAATATATTTCATGGTAAAAACCATGGTTTCCTATAGATTTTCATGGTAAAACCATGTAAAAACAATGGTTTTCATAATAAAACTGGTTAGACAAACAGTTACTGTATGAGTCCAGAATTTTCCACAGGAGATGTGGAAGATCTGGTGAGTTGCAACGAAACTTGGCGAAATTGCGGCCATGGCTTCCGTCGAAGGTGGCACACGACAAGTGCGTATATACTATACTATGCCTATAGTATTGTATTATAATATCATATGCCTACATATATATATACATTATATTATACATATATATATATACGTGTGTGTGTATGCTAGTTATATTATATATATATGTGTGTGTGTGTATTGTATCCGCACACGGCCTTTTCTTTGTTGGCCAATGATCCTCCCAAGTATGGATGATAGGGGATTGTTGACGTGGGGTGGGAAGGCATAGTTCTCCAAGTAGAATCAGTTCTCTGGGATATTCGCAGTGGGAACGAACGCTCTGGTAATTGAACATATGGAAAATCACCATTTTACATAGGTAAAATATGGTAAAATGATCAAATGGACAACTGTCCATAGCTGCTATAGCTTCAAATTATCAAAGGGACGCTGAGTTCATCCCTCATCCCACCGAGAATCTGTGAGGCCTTGCTCCTGACGTTGATGTGGCCGACGTGGCCTATGGCGCTGCATGTTCTCCATGCAATGCCTCAGGCGAGCAGCGGTGTGGTGACCAATGGGGCAACATGGGGCGCCCCTAGAAACGGGCAATGCATGGCAATGCACCATGGGAAATGGGATTGGTTTCTTTTTAAAGCATAGGAAACACTGAGTGACCAGGTAAGGTAGCTGGCTTGACACGTCCTTACACCCTAATCTGTAAATCATCAATCAGTGCAAGTGCTTCACTGTCTGAATGACACCTGGTTTTGGCTCAGTTCTGTCCCATCGATGTTTTCGTGAGCCTTCCAGAGCCAACACTTTGGCTCCAACGCTCACCGAGGCACGAGTGCAGCCCAATTTGTCGAGTTTCAGCACTGTGTTGATGTCCTTGGACCGATGGCCTTTAGCGTTTGGAGCCCCAAACCGTGAGTTTCTCCACGGTGTGGGTAACGAGTCACACATGAGTCACATTCTTCAATCATGTTTTGGCCTGCAATAGTTGAGGATGGGGTTGAAGCACTTATACATCACGATGGGTTCTGCATTGTCAAGACTTGTTTATTCCCCATCCATTTGCACCGGGCGAATCCTATCCATTCATCCGATTCATCCTCCAATAGCCCTGCTGAGCTCCCGACGGATGAGGTTGCAAGTCATGTCCCGTGTCACCCAGATGGATGTGATTGGCCCCTTGAAGCTGGTGGAGTCGGGTGCGCGAGGATGGTATTTTTGGTGCAGGTTCACTCCCCAAGTCACGGTGCTGGGCAGTCCATTCCCAAAAGTTGTTGCCTTGCCACCCACAAAAAGTATGGAAGGCTCGCAGCACCTTCACGAAGCCTCTCAGTATGAGGTTACAATTCGTTGCTGAACGCTCACAAGTCTTCTGGTTGGTTTCGATCTCAGCTGATTCTCCAAGAAAAATGGTGCCTGCATGTGAGAGGTATCTGGGGATTCCAAATCGTCTGAGCATCGTCTCAGCTTCACGAGGCGCAGCGCCTGCGAAGTGCTCACACGCATGCCAAGTCCCACAGCCACTGGGACGGTTGGACGTTTTCCGATCCGCAGAAAAGCTGGAGGTTTTTTCGATCGAAAAAACGGTGGGCTAGGCCCGGCTCGGCAACTTTTGGAAAATTATCACTTGGGATCCAGCACTTTCTCATCCAGCTGGGGACCAGCAAAAAAGTTTGTCGGATGTGCCGTTGGCAAACTCAGGTCCTCAGCTACAGCTGTGCAATCAGCGCCTGTGAGGCCGGCGGACAAGGAGTTGGGGAGCGTCTTAGGGTAGTGCGACCATTTGTATCCATTTGTCAGACGATGAACCAACCATAACCATGGCATAACCATGGCATAACCATGGCATAACCATGGCATAACCATGGCATAACAAAAGGGGTTTGAGACATCAGGTGATGTCCCTGAAGAGCAGTTTCCGATCGCCACGTGGCCAGTTGTCTGACGTGGCCAACTGCTCATGGTGAGCCGGTGGTGGATGCTTCACAGCTTCCCTGCAGCAGATCGTTCTGCAAAACAGATCTTGACGAGAACAAAAAGGCCCATTGGCAGTTTCGGTGGAAGTTGCTGTGTTCACGAAATTTCTGTTTGAAATGGGTTGATACAGCTGTACAGCTGTGGCACCAAGTCGTTACCCTCAATGAAATTTGATGCTTCAATTTCGGACCAAGGCGACCAGGGTGCAAATTTGCGCCCAGCGCCGTGGAGTCGCACAAGGCCGACAATTGGCTAGCGACAAGGAGCGCAAGGATGGACGCAGCGATGTGGACAAAGGGCGCAGGGGGCTGTTGGTTGCCTGGTAGTGCCTTCGTTTGTTGATACCCTCTGGATGGGAACTTTTCGGCTCACGAGCTGTGGCAGCTTTGGGTCTGCATTTCTGAGACGGTGATGGTGTAATTTGGTAGGGGGCCATGACCACCGTTTATGCCCATGTCCCAGCACAAGCACTGATAGTTAGTCCAGATATCCTTACTCTCTCAAAAGCAAAAGAGGAGATACGTGTCTTGATATTCAGCACCAGCTACTCACTGTGGTCACTTCTTGAATCCCGGTGAATGACTCACAAATTTCAGGGGCGCAAACATGTCTAGCTCCAGTTCCGACCAGCATCCAAGCGCACCTCCTCTGCCATGATGACAGCTGCCCGGTGTCGGCATTCAGTCCATGGCGCAGGTGCGGTGCTGCAGATCCGTGATGGGGTGGTGATTTTCTCATTCCATTAGTAGTCAACAAAATGAGTGATGGGTCTGGATGGGGTCTGGATGGATCTGGCATCCTGTTACAGCAGCCTGGCCAGAAGTGCTTGATTTGAGGATTGAGTTATGACTTTAGATACTTTAGTCACTCTAGTCTTGGAATTGGCTGCGCCAGATGTGCGTGTTTTGTTTGAGCAAGTGGTATGTAGCCATGTCAGTGGTGTTTGGTCGGTAACTCACCAGAATTTTCTCGTCTCTCTGTAGCTCCAGCACAAGGACTTGAAGAGCTGGCGGCAGCAGCCCCAACGCGCCACGCGTGTGCCGTGGAGACTTTCATCACGAGAACAACGAATGAAATCCATGGGAAAGTTTGGACCGACCATCATGATCCATCATGATTTGACAAAAGCAAGACCTTCAAAGCAAAGTAAATGGAACACTGCGAATGGGATATGGAGTGATGATTTTCTTTATGTAAGGTTAGTCTTTGTTGGAAGAAAATCGTGTGATCCCTTTGGATGAAAGACACCTCAAGCGGAGTTTTATTGGCTACTGTCAGGATGGCTCAATTGGCTTTATAATTGGCTTTATCCTTTTGCACATGGTAAAAATAAGTGTCCAATTTACTTTACCAGTAAATTTGTTTTCTTCCCCGTGCTTACTGGTAGGTTTCGGCCACATGAGGTGCTGACAGAAGCCTCCAGCGCTGCAGATGCCACAGCACTGCTAAAGCAGATGCATGCTGCAGAGGCGATGTAGTTGGTAGCGAAGTGGGGGGACTGTGATTGTGATAGGCCTGGGAAGTTGATGAAGTTCGGCAGTTAGTCACTTAGTCTAAGGACATTCCTTTTCCTGAACAACTCACCACTCCGTAGATATGGCAGGTGGAGATCAACGCCTTTCACTACTGCGCCACCATGAGCGTGTGCACGCAGCTTGGGCCATTTGATCACACCCAGCTCTCTCTGCTATTTCTAAATAAATTGTGAAAGTCATTGGCAGATGTCCAGCATTAGGACATGCTGTACAATAGGTACGGTGGAGGTGCCATGCTTCCTATAGTAGAATAGTTCCTATGGATTGACGCACAGAGTCCAAACTGTCTTCAACCTTCAGTCTAAACACGTCAATTCTGGGTTCCGAGGAAGACTTCCCAGTGGCCCTGGGCCTTGCAGCATTTCTCGCTGGGAGCCTCCAGCGATGTGTTTTTGGCCAATGCCGCGCTGAGCGCCTTCGCAGCCAGTGGCCACTTGCTTCAACGCGTGTGGGATGATCCTGGGATGCTGAACGGGAATTCCATTGCCTTGAATCAGCTTTTATGACGAGATGATCTGATATCCTGATATATCCTGATATCCAAGAATTTCAACTTGATGAGATTTGATTGTTTGATTCAATTTGATGAGCGGTGCGGCTGAGGCCGTTGGGCCGCCGCCCTGCAGTTGCTCAGCTCCTTGAAGACCGTGGTACGACTGGACATCGTGAGTTGCTGGCCGATGTTTGGGGGCACTGGAGGGAATCCTGCCCCGACAGAAACAAGCTTTTGTCCTAGAAATAGCATAATTCTTGGAAGTGGAATTCGAACCCAGTGTCTAAACCCACCGCAATGGTGTTGGACAAATCGACAGCAGACCCAAGTGCGAAGCAGACTGGGAAGAGGAGATGAAGCAGAGGCTTCCAAGGTTTCATCCAAGGCCAATAAAACAGGCAGGTATTTGAGCAAGCCTAATTTACAGGCAGACCTTAAAACTTTGAGTTTTCTGGGGTCAATATGCATGGCATTTCTTCAGACCAGCCCTCCACTTCCATATCTTCCAACATCTTCCAACGATTGCGAGTCCCTGAGTTTCGCCCAGGTTTCAACGCTTTGGGAAGTTGTCACTGGCGCTGTGCCTTAGACCTGCCAGATGGAGATCTGACGCCCACGGCAGTAACCTTCAACTGCTCCATGGCAGGTGGCTTGGTGAAATCTGTAAATAAGGGGATGATGTTCAGAAGGACTTTCTTGAAAATGGGCATCATCATCATCATCATCATCATCGCTATTATTCTATAAATCAATCATTCTATGAGTCATTCGATTTGCGAATCTTGGGGAGCTCCCCTCGATGATCCCATGGGATGTACCGGCGGTTGGCCCAGGTCAACGCTGGCCTTTGGCGCTGCAAACCTTTGGCGCGATGTGTCGGCTGCGGTGCAGCAACGAAGCGACGCCTCTTGCTGTCGAACCACTTAAGGTTGGTACAACGAGCTGTGCTTAGCTGTACTTAAGGTGATGGGATTGATAGATTTATGTGGGATTTATTGATGGAGGCCCACAACAGTCATCAGCAGCTTTCATGCAGACGAAGCAGCCAACATGGAAAAAATGCCGCCCGGCCACAGGCGTCACTGGCTCGATAAAGAAAACCCAGAAATAGGCTACTAAAAAATGAGTTGTTCCTTTGATTTATCCTTTGAAAGGCACTTCCTGGAAGATGGAAGTTTTTGTGCCCTTCAAGCCTTCAAGACATCAGTTTCATTATGGAGTGATTGTGACTAACTCCTTCAGCCACAGGCACTTCTCATCATTTGTTGCCAGCAACCCCGCTCAGGCAAGCCTGGCAAGCGGCATTTTGCCGAACTTGGCTGCCTGATTGGATGAAAGGTGCGGCCCTAAACAGTGACGACATTTTTGCACCCCATGGATAGATCCAAAGTTATCCAAAGGACTGGTCATTCATCATTCCATATCGTTTATGGCCTACAGCCACAACGAGCTCCCGGCACCTGCCAGACTTCAGATGAGAAGCTTAATATCAATTTCAACTTCTATCCAGGGAAACTTCGACCTCAGGCTACATTTCCTGTCATTTCGTCCCATTTCAGTGCGGCGCTTCACCGCCCGAGGTTACAACGCTGCTTTGAGCCTTTGTGAAACCTGGCGCCGTTGGGATTTGGCTATCGCCTTGCTGCATCCCATGGCGGATGTGGTGAGTTGCTTGGACACGGATGGGCAGGAGCTGATTTGGTGGCGAAATTTGGAGAAAATGGGATGGAACATGGATAAAGAATTATGAAACCATCTCAAACCAATGTTTCCAATTTAGACACATTGTGGAACTGTCAACACCGAAGCACTTCATGAAGTAAGCAGCCTCAATTGCACTTGCGGATTTATTTACATAGGGATCCGAGATCATTTTGGATGTCTTTGGTGGCGGGTCGATGCTGTACCAAGGTTTCAGCAGTGTCATCAGCACGTGTGAGAAGGCTGTGGAAAGTTCACATTTCGCCATTGTCAGGACTCTTAAAATGTGGAGCCCCAAAATCATCAAAACATGTCATTGAATTCAATTGGAAAACCGGTGGTTAGAAGGGGCACCCCAATTATTGATAATTTTCAGAAACAGCCAGTTCGAAATCCTTTCCGGGAAATCAATGGGGGAGCTCGCAGCGGACGCCAGGCTGGGCGCTGGCAGCTGACCTTGCTGATTTTGGACATGATGAGATGCCAAAAGGCCGCTGGGCATTTCTATGGAGCCAGGGACACATCCGGTGTGGTCACGTGATCCTTGTCACTTGAAGTTAACTGCTTATTCAGGTCAGAGCCAACAACTTCAGCTACAATGCGGCCAGATTTCCCGGAGTTGTGCATGACTGGAGGAGTTCAGTATAGCAAGCAGTTTCACGAAATTTCACGAAACATTTGATCTGGATTAGCTTGGATGACCCCATCATCCGCTCCATCTTTGATCTTTGTTTCCAAGCATTAGGATGTTGACGCTTGTCGCCCGTTGTATGATCTTGCATTGGTATTTCTCCTTTTGCGAAGTTCTGCCTGCTCTGGCACTAGGGCGGCAAGTGTGAGATGCAAACATCCAAACACTTCGCAGGCTGCGCTGCAACTCAATCCCTTGGCTCAGCTGGAACTGCATAGATCCAAACGGCGCCATGGCCTACGTGGACCTGAGTGTCCCAACTGCAGCATTCACCCAGCCATACAAAGAAGCCCTGAAGGAGCGGGGAGATTCGGGCGCCTCTGCCCATATGCGGATGCGAATAAGGTGCGAAGGTTCTCCAGCCATTGGTTTTTCCCATTCAAATCCAACCACTATCGCATGCGCGACCTCAGGAGCGAGTCACCGCATTCACGCTAGAAGAGCTCGACCGTGCACTGCCACCTCCGCCCGTGCAGTACCAAGTTATTTGCCTCAACAGCAGCTCGAGCTGAAATAATTCATCCAGCTGTTTTTGGAGAAGTTAACCTCAATTCTTCAATGTTCACGTAGGACATGCGATTTTTTGCACTTTTTGTGCGCTTGTTGTGCGCTTTTTTGGCATGTTCCCTTCTGTCCATGTTACGATTGAGGTCAAGATGGCGCCATTGTGGGCAGCAGCATGGCGGGCTCGGAGGTCTTTGTGATTGAGAAACATCGCATTGACAGCAGCCTCACGGCTGCCAAGCTGCTGGAGCTCATCGCAGAGATCTTGTGTCAAGACATCGGCAACTTGACGCTTCTGCGCGGGGACCATGCACTTGCCAACAAAGCTTGCATCGCGCTTGAGGCAGCATCATGAACTGTTGGACACTGTTGGATGGAAGAGTTGTGTTTTTATTCAGTTGTGATGATATCTGGGTTTTCCATCTCCGCTATCTCCCCATATTTGGTCTCATATATGTTCCAGGTTCTCACACGTGCTAGGGGGGACCATACCACGGGGGGGAACCTTACCACTGGGGGGCCATACCACTAGGGGGGGCTAGCGAACTGGGGACCGGATCATATATTTCCACAATTTGTTTTACCCCATAGATCTAATGATCTAATGAATCTAGTTCCAGCTTTCAGAAGTCCAAAGATTCCACGGCAGAGGAGGTGAGCTCCGTCACCTTACGCGAAGCCCTGCAGTGCGATGCACCTCTGCTGTGTCGCCTGCTGCCGCCCAACGCCTTGCGCCGGGTCGAACCACGCCTAGGAGATGCTTGGCAGGCGATGCCTTAGACAGAAATTATACATGTCGTTTCCAATGGAATAAGACTTGATGGATTTCAAGTGTGCTTTTCAGTCTTGCAACTGATCAGGCTACTTGGCTTTCTGTCGATGTAATGAGAAACGTCTATGGCCAAGGCCACACCTTTCAATGGCACTCAATGGGGCCTTAGGTCTGACCCAGAGATGTTAGTTGAAATCGATGATCGTTGATGTTTGTTTAGTTATACTTTATACGGTATACGATTTTGTGCAGCTAATTTCGTTGGAGGATCCTTTCTTTTCATTAAAAGTGCGGTAACAACATTTAAAGATGTGGAGGGCGGGCCAGACCACGAGGCCCCGGAGGTAGTATGAAACACCAGTTCGATTCCATCCATATATATTTAAATGTATATCTGTATGTCTAAATAAATTGGATTCCGTATGTTTAAATGGCCGGGCTCAAGGAAAACCTTCCCGGAGTTTCCGTAGCACCCAGGAAGGCAGCGTCGAGATCGATTATGAGCGACTGCCCAAGGCCTGGGGCTACGTGTCGTGTCCTGTCGCTATTTGGATTTTGAGCGGTATCCCCCCAAAAAAAGAACTGGAGTCTACCGGTCTAGCTGGCTTACATTTCTTGCATGTGCAACCCATATTTTAAGTTTCATGTTCTGTCTAAAATCACTCCCTACCAGTTTCTGTCAGTGCCACACTTGAAGGCTAGCGTGGGTTCTCACGATACTGTGCTTTCAAAATCTATCATGCCACCAGGGTGCGTCACAACTGGCAAGGTATCATTGGCTCTCATCAGTTCTTCAGTGATTCGTCACATCCCACGTGTTTCATCACATTTAGTGCTTCCAGGAGGTGAGTTTTGAATAGTTGCATGCCACTCATCCATCATATGTCCATCGTGTTGGGATTGGCCGATCTGTCCGCTGTTTTGGAGCTGGGATCCGCAGGATGAAACCATCCAATCCATCAAGGAGGAGCGTCGCTATGTCACCCGTACGGAAGACTGCTGGATGGTGTACACCAGCAAAGAGGTGGGACCTGGTCGGCTTGCCACACCTGCCACACCTGCCACACCTGCCACACCTGCCACACCTGCCACACCTGCCACACCTGCCACGCCTGTTGCCATGGCAGGTGATTTCCTACCGGGTGTGCCGTAATGGCCGCAACGAGATCCTGAAGCCCATTGGCCACTCAGGCAAACTTTAGAAACTTTAGTGAGATAAGGAAGCAGGATTCAGGAATAGCAAGCATTGTGTAAGCACCATGTGTCCATAATATATGTTTCTAAGATTTTCTAAGCTATAAGTTGTACCGCATATTTGTATCTTACGAAACAATTTTGTGCAGGCTACTTTACTTGACGGTTCAAAGACGTGCGATCTTTTGGACGGTCATCCCTGGGGAGAAAGAACCACTGAGGTTACTTTCCAGCTGCACCGTGCTGGAGATTGCCGGTGGGAACTCGTCGCTGGGGCAGCTGCGACGTTTGGAGCACTCAGCTGGAGCTGCCCGTCCGACAACTCCTGGACCAGCACCACGTCGAAGGAGAGACATTTGAGTGTTTGAAACAGGAAACATTTCAAAACCCCTGTTGTTGGATGGTTATTGGCTATAACTTATAGGAAGTTTTGGCATGCTGTCGGAGATTGTACTACCCAATCAGTACATCATGAGGAATCATCATCAATAAGTTACAAGACAACCAACCATATGACACAACAATCACAACATCACTCTGCTACCTGTCCAGTGATGCCTTGGTACGCTACCAAGGCATGCAGCAAAGACCAACGACCGGCCCATTCCAAGATATCAAATGATCGTGGATCCCAACCAATTTGTGGATGAAACCGATGCCGGACCTGCTACTTGGCTGACATTGTCCTATTGTCCCATTTTCAAGTTCTCACAAGATGATACGTTTGCATCCTGATACTCATTTGATAGTCTTAGTATTCTCACAGTTGGCCACCATGGGAGAGAAGGTCACAATGCGAGGCAGTTTTGCTAGGAAGGTGTTCCTCTTTAGGCTGTGCTGGTGACTCAAAAGGAACTGCTGAACTTCGACCGCGGTTGGCCACACGTGTTACAATTTGAGTCTCGCTATGTTGTCCCAACCCTCAAAGTCCACATGACTCGCCAGAGGGAAAAGGTGGAATGATTTGGCTCACTGGATCTCACTGGTAAGTGTTGTGCACTCTACTACTATAGACATCTATAGACTATAGATAATAACATATAATAACATATAATAACTATAACAACCATGAGAACTATATGTTATGGCTATATATAGCTACTTTAATGGCAAGTCAGCCATCGAAAGTGCAGGTTTGGGTCCCCTGCGAGTTCGACGTATGGAGCACACAGCGGGTGACACTGGTTGGAGGCGATCGAAGTCATCTTGAGCCGCACCTGGCGGAGGAGGCAGCATGATGTCGATTCGTTACTGTAATGATCTCAGGCCAATATGATTGATATATGATTAAAACGAACAAATACATAGATAAATGAATAAGTATATATATATTATATATATAAATAATGGATATATTAATGCATTTGTATTAATGTATATATCAATGTAATGAAATCTCACATGTAGATTCCAGATGGATGAATTCATAGACGTATGGATATACTGATAGACATACATCCATTGTACGTATGACATGAAAAATGCTGCACTTTGAAGCGGGATCCCATTTCCGCAGGTGGCCCGACCGGTCCTGGCCGCTGCCCTGCCATTGTTGGCCAAGTTGCGGCGTCCGCAGCTGCTGCTGGAGGATCGACGGCTGCAGGTGGTCTTCAAGGCGGAAAGTCTTCGGAGGATCTGTGGTATTCCTGCTTTGGTGAGGGGCGCTCTTGGCAAATTTGGGTTAACTTGGTTGCCATTGACATGTTTTTGGGATAGTTTTGATATGTTTGGAATATGTAAACCAATGATAAGATACCAGCAATAGTTCAGGATGAATACCGGCTTGCGGCTTGCAGCTGCAGGCCCAGCGCATCATTGTCCCGGGTTCCACGGGTTCTGGCTCTGACTCGGAGTACGTGGGTTTGTGGCATGTGGATGGTCACAGGGAGCACGTGGCTGCCGTGGTCCTGTGACTTGTTTGAATCATGGGATATTTTGTAAAAAAGGAATGACTTACTTGATTTGAGTCGCAGGATATCCCATGTTTGAATCATGTGACTTACTTGGCTGGAGTCGCAGTAAAGTTCTGTTCCATCGAGAGCCTTGTCAGATTTGGGAAAGGAAAGTAAGTGCCTATTTGATTTGGTTTGCTCCCATAATATTCTTGATTTTGGAACATGCTTTCAGGAGAAGTCCTCATGCAACAATGCCTCAATTGCTGGCTTGAGTCACAAACTTTTTGTGTACCTTGAGGTACTACTACCACGTGGATAAATCGTTGCATGGTGGAGATATGGAGTTCTGTGGCCGTGAACCCATGGACATTTTGGGTTGGGGCGACTGCAGCAACAACTACCGATCCTTCGGCCGCGAGTCGCTGCGTAGCGCCCTGCGGGGTGACGCGCGCGACCCTCCGAAGCTGGCCAACTGCCGAGTGCCCATCAGCAACTCGGAAAGCACTGCAGCCATCAGCCATCTACGCTAAAAATGGCAGGAAAACACATGTTCAACTTGGCCCAGGGTCTACTGGTATTTTTCTTGTGACTGTGGGAGGTTCAGCTGGAGGATCCCGTGTCATGGCAAAGTATTGGCCGGCCATTCCCACCATCCAAACCCGCACTGCCTCGACTTTTCGCTTTGCACTTTTAAAGTGGCAGTGGCATTGTATTGGAACAAATTGCAATGAATGACGAGAGACTATGACATTTCTGTTCGGAATTGATCCCATCACGGATGAACACTTTTAAGCATGAGTAGATGTGTTGCCACATTCCAGGGGCGGCCCAGCTTCAGGTGAAGGCACCTTATTGGTTTTCTCTAACTGCCAAATGGCCCACCGTGTGCTGCGCATGTGGAACGACAGTGGTCGTGAAGCCTCCCGCGATTTCGTGGCTCTTTTCATTCTGGATCCAGCCTTTCCTCCCTTGAAGCTTGGTGCCGAGCTTGCTATGCAATGGCAGAAAATTCTGCGGCCAGGTTCACAGCTCATATCGGGGCAACAAATCCACCCACGAAGAAACAGTCTCCAGCTCTGATCACCTGAGGTTCCTAGGCACGGCCACAGTTTTATGGAACTTTGCCAGATGAAAAGCATCCCCATTCTCAAGCTTGACCATCCCAAGCCCAAGGAAACCTGCACAACAAGTCCTGAGCAAAGGCTATGCCACAGCTCGTGCATTGAGACTCGGGGGCTTGAAACCAGCACCAGTTCAACTTATCCAGGACTCCGACTCCCCATCCCAAAAAGAAATTCTGAATCGGGAGCCCCCTATCTTCAATAGGGAAGGAACAAGAAAGGTGCACAACGTAATGCACAGGGCACTGAGAAAGGGTGTGGGGTTTTCATGTAACTTGTGTTTCTTCCGCAAAGATGCCGGGTCTTTGGGGATTGGTTTATGATATGGTTAAGTATCCTAACAAGCAGTATCAAGCAGTCCATTTGCTCGGGGAACCTCCAAAATGATCAAAATAATCAAAATGATGAAAATCGTCCGAAAATCGTCCGATTGTCATAGATTGTCCGATTGTCCATAAGCAGCCCATAATGTCTGCATCTGCTATCCATTAGGCCATCCTTGGCATCGCTCCCAGGAGTTCCTGGGTCATCTTCCCAGCCTTCGGGCCCGGAGACGTCGACGTGTGGAGATGTTGAAGGAACAGCTGGAGCCCAGCGGCGAAGTCTGCGGCGGCTCACAGGTGAGGGCCACTGGCAACGGCTGCTACACCATGGTCGGATGGCTCCATAAACTGCTGGAAGCTCGAAGCGAATTAGATGATTTTTACCGATTAAAACAGTGGGCTACCAGAAACATGTGAAAACCATTGAAACTTGTGAAATAGAGGGTGGACAGGACACCCAGAGGGACAAGTGGACAATCCCATCATCGCAGTGCGTCTCGTTTGGTGAACAGCTGGCAGATCCCATTCCCCAAGGTCCAGGCTAAGCCGTAGACCAAGTCAGACCCAATCGGATAACATTCCCTCATTTAGTAAGCAAAGACCCATCCGCATGATGCTGATGTTATGGTGAGGTCTTCAAAATGTACCCCCAAATCATCGCCTACCTCAGATCAGATGCCTTTAAAGACTTGACATGTTTGAAATGTGATTTTGCTTGCCATGTATGATGGAGCGATTGTTGTTTTTCAACTTCTAATCCACCAGCAGTTCAGATCTTCTTCTCTCGTTTCAGGACGCCAACGAAGATTTTAGTCGGTTCGATGACTGGGACGGGGAGAAGTATATCAAAGGCCTCAACGTGTCCCCGAGCTGCGACCGTGGCATGTCCGAAGTGTTTTCCTTGGAAACGGGCGAGTTGGAATGGAGACTTGAATGGCAAGAGACACTGCATCAGGAAGTCGACTTGTTGGATCCTTCGGATTGAGATGTGCCGAGTTTGAAAAGTGGCCAGCGAGGCCAGCAAGAAGGCGGATAGGTTTCCAACGCTTTGTACCGGTCTGTACCGGTTTCTTAATTGTTTCCATGTTATTCTTGGCGCAGCGCCAGAATGTTCCCTTCGGCTTGCCAGTGATGGAGGTCACCAGACCTCACATCCTGCTGTACAGTGCACAGAACCAGTCGCGGCAGAAAAAATGCATCGCTTGTAGATCCCCAAAACTGACCTCCCTCTTGATGGAGTGGGATTATGCATCCAGAAAAATCACAAACAAGCAACGAGAACTCTACCTGGGCGGCAAGGTTGGAAGAAACACTCCAAACTTGTCGTTTTCATAAAGTAGAATTGACAGTACCAGGGAGGGCTGCCACCCAAACAACCAGTCCAAGATCTGAAGGTAAGACACATTAAGACGCATTAAGACACCTTATTACAAAAGCGACGCCAGAGTTCAGGTCACTTCAGGTCACTTCAGGTCACTTCCCATGTTGACAACTTGACATTTTGGCCGATGCTTCCGCTTTCCAAGGCCATGAGTGCATGCGGCAAACACAGTGCCTGGTCCAAAGCCTTGGAACTCTTCGAGGAAATGATCCGTTTCTTGGCTCCGATGAATCCTGTCCGATCCCACCGAGATTCTTCTGTTGCACAGCTCCTAGGCTTTCAGATCCAAGAGGATGTGGTCAGCTACAATGTGACTTGCCATATCTTGCCATATCTTGCCATATCTTGCCATACTTAAAAGCCGTCAATGATATCCAGTGTGCCTTCCCGATGGTGAGATTGGTCATGAACTTATTCGATGCCACTCGTTCTCTGGTGGCCGAACGATTGAAGGCCCTGCTTGAAGCTCTGGTCGAGGGCCAGACTGATGGCAGACTTGAAGGACTGATCTTGATCTTCATTATGCCTTGACCAGGGCCAGCAATGTTGAACAGTGACATCAGTGACATCAAATCATGTCCCTTTAATTCGTACTGATTTGTACTGGTCGTTTCAAGTTGTTTCCCAGTTTGGATCCCATTTTGCGAACCCTCCAGGACCTTCAGTGGCTTTGTTGCTGACATCCATGACTGAGGCGCCACGCTCTGGGACATCGGCTTCAAGAATCTATAGTAGTTCACCAGGGCAGATTGAGAGTTGATTGGGTTGAGAAATGAGTTGAAACATCTTGAAACTCATCTCAGACCAGGAAGTGGCTCAACTGTTTCTTCAATGAAATTGGGCATGGTATCCCGACTAGGCGCTGGTGCTGCCGAATCTCGTCACCTACAGCACTGCTCTGATGGGCTTCGAGAAGGATGGCCGCTGGGAAGAGGGGCTGCACCTGCTGCGGCTGATGCGGATGAAGCTGATTGAACTTGACATCATCAGCAGCTTGGCATAGCTTGGGGGATGCCCAATGGCATTTGCGAAGGTGTTGAGTCTACTCATGTCTACTCATGCCCAAAGCTTATCAGGAAACTCATCAAGCTTGCCTCTCTCAACAGTTGTATGGCAGCTGCCTAGGCTACAACTCAGCGATGAGCGCCTGCAAGGTAGCAAGCCAGTGGAGTCTCGGCTGTCTGCGGGATCACATGACACCAATAGATGCATTCGTACCTCAGAATCGACGGCCCATGTGCCCTGCATGACTTGACGTTCCACAGAGGCAAACGGCTTGGCAGTTGCTGAGATCCATCGCCACCACAGCTACCAGCGCTACCAGCATCAGCTTCTGCACTCTGTGTGCTGCCTGCGAGCGCCAGTGGCGGTTCTCCATTGAAGCCCTGCACTGGGCAGAGGATACCACCGGGGCCACGGTTGCTTGGCAAGATGGCTTGAATTTACTTGGTGACAAGCCTTCTGGTTTGCAGGATTTTGCAGGTCCTGCAAGCACAAGTTGCCATAAGTTGAGATAAGTTGTCCAAATCTTGAAGATCGTTTTGTCAGCACTCGAGTTGCATCCTTCAGTGCCAGTGCTGCGAGGTTCCAATGGCAGCCTCTGCGCTGTTGGCTTGTGAGCGTGCCGCCGTGGTGCAGCCAACTGTGGCCTTGATCCACTCACTCGGCCAGGCGCGGAAAGTTGGACGTGGCGTCACTGGCGTCATATCAATTTGATGATAGCTTTCAATCCTCAGTTAGCCTGTTATGCCAAGAGATGTAGAGGAAGACGAAATCCAAAGTACTAGTAGCTTGGAGTTTTGCTACTCGAGTTCATCTCCAGGATGCGCTTCAAGACTTTCCCCATGCTGGCATGAAGGCAAGTACGATGAGGGTATGCAAACGCAAACACAGATGTTTTACACATGTCCTGGAAATACCATCCTCACCGAACCTTCAAAATAGTGCTTGTTGATTCTGCTGGTTGATCCAGAGTGAGTAGTTTGCCAAGCACAAAGCTGTGTCAGACTGCCTCTCTAGCACAATGCCAGCCTGAACTGCAGGTCACCCTGCAAACCTAGGGTGCTGAGCAAATCTGAGCAGTGGCCATTGCAGCCACCATAGAACGTCCACAGAACGTCTAGCATGCCAGAGCGGCAATCGTCCGCTTGAGATTTCGCAGTGGCCCGTGTGGCCCCTGAGCAGACAAAACGTGAAGGGTGACAGCGGCCATAGATCAGAGCGAGTTCCTGTGTCACTATAATTTGGTTTATGCTGCAGGCGGCGAATGGCAGCAAGCGATTGCGCTGCTGGCAGCTATGGAAACCCTGGAGGTGCCATGACTGGGTGCATCTGTCTGAACATTGGCAGAAGGATCTCCGATCCAGCGAGCCTTTCAAGACACGTTTAGCTGCCGCAGGTCAGAAGGGACACTGTGGCTTTCAGCGCGACCATCACAGCATGCGAGAGAGGTGGGGCACCAGGCACCACCCCTTGTGACAATATCTTCAGATCAGTTTAGATCAGCTTCACTTGGCCATATCCAGTACATGATCTTACCACTGGCACATGCCACCAACGGATCCCAATTTGGGCCATCGCAGTAGAACGTATCCACCGTTAAGGCAGTCGTTGGGAAGATGCTTTGCAGCTTCTCGATGTCATGGACCGCAGCGCGGTTCATCGAGATGTCGTCACCTTCAATGCAGTCATGAGTGCCTGTGAGAATCTTGGAGAGTACCTTGGCTGAGAATGTACTGAGAATATCTGGGATATTCTGGGATGATACATGTCCAATACATGTCCAACTGTCCAAACAATAAAAAACATGCAAAGTAAAGCCTGGGCATCCTGGGATGTCGGCCCTGGGACGGCATTGCCTGGCTGTGCCCAGGTGGCAAGTTGCTTTGCATCTCTTGTGCCTTGGACAAAAGGCAGATGCCAATACAGTATGGCCAGTATGGCAACTTTGGCAGGTTCGGTGATTAACAATGCCAAAGTATGCTTTGTTTTCATTCAATTGAGAACCGACTCAAACATGTCACCACTTTTCCATTTAGAACGTTAAAAAAGAGCTGAAAGCAGGACCTGCTTGGTGCCAGGAACTTGATGGAATCGATTGCTCTTCATCCCGACGCGATCCTCGGTCAATGACCGCAAATTGATTCAGAATGATTTTCAGAATTCAAGGGTTTTGTGAGTTTTGTGCAAAACTCTTGGTTATTGCAGAAGTTTTTGTGGGCAGTATGCATAATCCGATGCCTTTTAGGATCAGCTACAACGCTTGCCTCAGCTCCTGTGAAAAGGGTCATCAGTGGCAGGCAGGAATGGCAGGCGATGATCGTCACTTGACAGTCACCTGTGACATGGCACCACATGGCACCACACGCCCTGCAGGTCGCGCTATCTTTGCTTCAACGCAGTCTTCGTGACTTGATCAGCTACAACGCAGTGCCTTGGGCTCTGAAAGCAGCAAGCGGAGTGGGGTAGGCCCAGTGCCAGGAGTGCCCGGGTGCCTGCACTCAGGTCATCAGTGCCTGTGCCAATTCCGGAGAGTGGCGACTGGCCTTGTCTCTTCTGGATGACGTTGCGCAGCAGGCCATTGGGGTGGATTTCTTGCGGTTGTTTTGATGGAATCTCATGGCCAGGTGCTGCCCAACAGTATCAGCTTCAGTGCGACTTGGCCAAAAAGGAAAGACAGTGGCGCCCCAGCAATGCCACCTGCAATGCCTTGGATCCCTGGGATCCCTGGGATCCCTGACCGAAGGCTGCGATCAGCGCCTGCGAAAAAGCATGGCAGTGGCAGGCGAACCCGAGACATGCAGACGCAGAGGATGACATTACCAGTGCTGGTAAAGTTGTTCATTCCGAGGTTGAACAGTTTGACATCGGCCATGGATGTGCTCAAGATTCCTTCCACTCGCTCATGACATCGCATAAAATGTGTGACATGTCACCGTGCCATTTGATTCTCGCCATCCTGGATATTTGACAGACTTGACATAGTTCTTGAGATAGTTCTTGTGCTTTCATCCTCTACAAGCATGTGATCAAATGCAAGCTGCTGTCCAAATGCTGCTGAGAGTTACAGTGCCATCGTCCACCGTGATATCAAACCTCGCAGGCAGCCTGCAGCCTGCTCAGCGAGATGGAGAATTCAGCTGTGGAGATCAACGTTTCTCGGTAGAACCAAGGTGATTTCTGTACGGATCTGTCACAATCACCAGATGTGGTGCCAGTAGCCACCGAAACATGCAAAATTCATAAAACCAGAGGGGGAAAATGGTTTCCGAACGAAAAAAAGCCGGATGCTGGCCCGATGCTTTGAAAGTTGAGCACAGTTTGTAGTCAACGCAGGTGATCAGCTGCAATGCCGCCTTGAGCGCTTGTGAGAAGTGCGGCGAGTGGCAACATGCCTTGGATTTGCTGAAACTCGGGGCATTTCATTGGCACCATGTTGCACCATGTTGTCATATGTCAGATTTTGGAACAAAAACAGTGGCAAAGAACATGTCATTCAGATGTTGTGGCTAGTATGTAAGATTTATAAGTTACAAGAGGTGATAAGCCGATAAGCTATTGATTTCAGGTGTTTCCCAGTAATTGTCAAAGCTCAGGACGCAACTACCTGCTCGTGGTTTAGTACCTGATGGTATCACATACAACGCCGCCCTCAGTGCATGTGACAAAGGCATCAGCAAGCTGTGAGCATTTGCTTTGCTTCCCCAAATTTGGCAATCGTAATGTAGTGATAGCAATTCTCAGGGCTACATCTACATCGTTATTTCCAGGTTGACACTGTGCAGTGCTGGTCTCACTGTGTGGCGTGTCAGATTTTTGAAGGCAAGCAATGGCAACTCGCACTGCATGTGATGGCGGTCCTGGAACAATCCCGACTCGCAGCAGATGACATCAGTTGCAACGCTGCCATCAGTGCCTGTGCCAAAGGTCTCTTGACTCCGATTGACTCAACTTTGAGGCTTCCAGGCTGGACAAAAACTGCGACAGACTTGGAAAATCTTGGTAAAGTGCTAGCAGCCTGCTAGCAGCTGCTGCCCTCGTAGTTGGTCGCGACGATGCACCGAGGTGATCAATGGCAACGAGCCTTGGCCATTTTTTCTGATTTCGAGCTCCTCAACTGCAGACATCATGTTCACATATGTTCACAGATTCACGTTGGCATCGAATGTTGAAAGATGTCGAAAAGCAAAAGCATGTGAAAGCCAGTAGGACAAGTCAAATTGAAAAATGATGGAATTCAATTTGCTTCGTAGTTGCTTTGTAGTTGCTACAGTCAAGTTGAGCGGAGAATGTGTGCAGCAGAGACAGAGTTTTTCGGCATTTGGGCCGCAGTTTTTGGGTCGGAGCCGTAGGAGTTGTTGAAGCGTTGCATAGCGCCATGGCACCCATGGATTCCATGGGCATCGAACGTGTCCCGTGGTGCCCCGCCGGATCCTTGCGCTTTAAGAAGAAGTCCGATACTGACAGTGCCTGCGCTCCAATGACACATTAACAGAGTACATATAAGTAAGATAAGTAGGCAAACTAGATAGAAGTTCCAATAGACTTGGAACTTGGAACCCATAGATTGCCATAGACTGTACCTTTGCGCAGCCCATCGGAAAAGGTGAGACTTTAGGGGCTGTCACTGATGTCACCATCTACCAGCTACCGCTTAGGTGAGAAGAGCACATCCATCAGTGGACGGTCCGTGCAGTCGCCGGATGTGCCTTGCATCTCGTTGGAGTCTTATCCTCCAGAGGCCATCAAAGCGCCATGACTGCGATTGTCAGTTGCCAGTTGGATCTAGTTAGCTAGGGGTAGCTTTTGGGTGGTTCAGTTGGGTGGTTTGACTACAGGTTTCAGATTCAAGGACTGGCAGATGTTGGTTCTACTCATTTTTAGCATTAGGCCGATTCATTTGGGGTGCCCAATTTCAATCCATGAGCATTTGAAACGAATTGTCATACTTCTTGCGGATTTCGTGTAAACACCGCCCTCGCAGACCAAACCACATCAAACCACCTCACGATGTGGAGCTGACGATGAGGTTGGCCAGCCCAAGGTTGAAAAAGTAGGTGTTCCGACATGGACCGTGCCTGTGTTTCTCAGGTGCAAAATACCTTCATCAACATTGTGAGCCCACGACCAGAGACTCAGCCTCTCTCTTGTCCAGCCAGTCGCATTGGCTGTCTCAAAGCACTCTTCGGAGAAGATGACTCACCAAAGGCATCAACGACCTTGGTGAAAGAGGTCAAAGAGAAACAGACAGAGGACAAGGCGTGGAGACCCAGCAGATGGGTTGACAAGAGTGCCATCAAACAGAATCACCATCCTTGACTGCTCCAACCATTACAGTTTCCAGATTGCAATGTTTTTCCCAACTTGTCATTCTGTCGGGCATTTCCTTTGAGAAGAAACTGAATGAACATTTCGAAGATCACAGTATCCACAAGTTACATCTCACATCAAGTCACTTCCCAGGCGATGCTGACGTTGCCGTTGCCGATATTGGCCTCGAAACCCTTGGAGCCACACCCCGAGTGCGAGTCCTCATCCCCGGTGATCCCACCAGTGCTGCAGTGCGTGCCAATGACGGCGCCCGCAACGGCCGCACCCCCCGCACTGCCACTGCCCGCACTGCCCGCACTGCCCACACTGGGATCGGAGGACTTACCATCACTTGGCTCCAAAGGCCATATGAATCTTGGCAGATCTTGGCAGCTAAGTTTCGCCGAGACTGCATGATTGGCATCGTTGTTGGCTGTTTGGAATTGGCATGAATCTGAAATTAGTCTGAAATGTTCTGGCCGCGCGTAAATTTAGACCAGTTTGATTAGAACACATACTGTGCCATACCAGTAGTACCGCACAAGGCGGTGGCGGAAGTTTCAAAAATAGGAAACCTATAGGAGAGATTGGTTGTTGTGAATCAGGGATGGCAGAGCGAAGCCACTGATGGACCGAAAGGTGCTTGAGGTCTCCTCTCTGTCTCTCTCTTTCTCTGACTATCTACCTACCTACCAACCTATCTTCTATGTATCTATCTATCTGTCGGTCGTCTCTCTCTCTCTTTCATCTAATTACCTATCTATCTATCTATCTATCTATCTCTCTCTCTCTCTCTTTCATCTGTCTATCTGTCTATCTGTCTACCTGTCTATCTGTCTATCTGTCTGTCTATCTATCTATCTATCTATCTGTCTATCTGTCTATCTGTCTATCTGTCTACCTGTCTATCTGTGGTGCGGCGTCATTCAGTGTAATGTACTGTAGTGTAGTGGAGTGTAGTTGCATAGTCGTAGTTATATTTGTAGTGGAGTGTAGTGTAGTGTAATGTAGTGAAGTGTAGTGCAAGGTAGTGTAGTGTAATGTAGTGGAGTGTAGTGTAGTGTAATATAGTGTAGTGTAATGCAAGGTAGTGTAGTGTAATGTAGTGGAGTGTAGTGTAATGTAGTGTAGTGTAATTTAGTGTAGTGTAGTGGAGTGTATTGTAGTGGAGTGTAGTTGTGTAGTTGTAGTTGTAGTTGTAGTGTGGTGGAGTGTAATGTAGTGTAATGTAGTGAAGTGTGCTGGAAGGTAGTGTAGTGTAATGTAGTGTAGTGGAGTGTAGTGTAACGTAGTGTATTGTAGTGTAATTTAGTGTAGTGGAGTGTAGTTGTGTAGTTGTAGTTGTAGTGTTGTGTTAGTAATGTAGTGTAGTGGAGTGTAGTGTAGTGTCCTGGCGTGTAGTGTAGTGTAATGTGCTGTAGTGTAGTGTCTTGAAGCGAAGCGACATCTGAACCTCCAAAAGTGGTCCGAACCCCTAGTGTTTTGTACATTTTGACTTCGAAACCTGCTTCGCGCCACAACGGCGTGCACTTTTTCAACATCTGAACCTCCAAAAGTGGCGCGAACCCCTAGTGTTTTGTACATTTTGACTTCGAAATGTGCTTCGCGCCACAACGGCGTGCACTTTTTCAACATCGAACCTCCAAAAGTGGTCCGAACCGTGGTGTTTTGTACATTTTGACTTGGAAATGTGCTTCGCGCCACAACGGCGTGCACTTTTTCCACATCCGAACCTCCAAAAGTGGCGCGAACATGTGGTGTTTTGTACATTTTGACTTGGAAATGTGCTTCGCGCCACAACGGCGTGCACTTTTTCGACATCTCAACTTCCAAAAGTGGTCCGAACCCCTAGTGTTTTTAACATTTGACTTGGAAAAATGTGCTTCGCGCCACAACGGCGTACACTTTTTAGACATCTCAACTTCCAAAAGTGGTCCGAGAATGGTGTGTTTTGTACATTTCACTTCGAAATGTGCTTCGCGCCACAACGGGTGCACTTTTTTCGACATCTCAACTTCCAAAAGTGGTCCGACAATGGTGTGTTTTGCACTTTTGACTTGGGAAATGTGCTTCGCGCCACAACGGCGTGCACTTTTTCGACATTGCACCTTCCAAAAGTGGTCCGACGCTGAGGTGTTTTGTATATTTTCACTTGGAAATGTGCTTCGCGCAACAATGGCGTGCACTTTTTCATCTCTCATCTGGCCAGCTGGGCCCGCCGCTTTAGCGAGCCTACTTTTCGACCCTCAGGAGCCACAAATCATTGGAAAAACACAGTGTTTCGCGACTTTCCTACCTTTTCGCGCATCTGCATCTTCTTTCTTCTGACTCTTTCTCTTCTGATCTTCTTTCTTCTAATCTTTCTCTTCTCTCTGCCTCTGCCCTGCTCTGCTTTTCATCTGTCCATATTGTCGGAAGTTTGACTTCTAAACTTCCTTCGATAATGGCATTCTCACATGAAGCCAAGCGCAAGGTGATTGTATCCGTTTTTCTGTTCTGTGTATGGCATCCTTGAATGCGCCACACACCACCAGACAACATCTTCAGCCGAACTTCAACTCTAAGACGCGCGCTTTAAGGAATGAAGTCTGCAAACCGTGTGCTTTCCACCACGCCAAAGGCTGCAGGAACGGTATGATGTGTCCTTTCTGCCACCTGTGTGACCGTGGAGAGAAGAAACGTCGACAGAAGGTGAAGAACGCCAGGAAAGCCGCCATGAGCCGCGGCGGTGCGTAGACGGATGTAGTCGGAGGCCACTGAATTTAGGGCATGCGCCACATGAGCCTAACTTGCTGCCCTCTTGCCTGAAAAATCAAAAATCCGAAATCTGCACGAAACTCGGCCGACAGATATTGGAACGCACCAATACTTGGACATATTCAGTTGGCAGATGATCAGAAAGTGCGTTTCTGCCCATCGAACCAGTCCAGTTCTGGTTCGAGCTAGTGGTGGCAAGATATTACTGTTCCTTTCTGGTGATCCTACAAGCATTCCAGGCCATGTAGTTAGAGCTGATTGCACTTAGCTGCTTAGTCGTTTCATCCAGTCTCATCCCTTAGCACTGCTTAGGTCGCTGAACGTTCACACAACATGGGATGTTGCATAGAAGTCCAGATGCAAGATGGGCCGGCCAGTGACTTGTGATTGACTTACAGTCAGCGCACTTATTGTTTCAATGAACATTTAGTTGCTTGGCCAATAGTGAAAGTTCCAAAGAGCAACAGTCCCATAAAGAACGAGCTTCCGGGAAGAAGTTTATTCATTCGGCAAAATGTGCTGGAATCTCTGCAGAAGCCCGTGGCAAGTGATGGAAAACAACGGCTGCGTATCCAGCGCTACGGCGGTCAAAATTGGGTATCCCGTATCCCTCAATTTTGATTCAGAATACTCAGCCAAGACTCTTACAATCTTGGCCAGAAATATTCGGGGAGGGTACAATTTTGGTGTCCACGTTTGGGCAATCCCCATGACAGCTCAGGTCAAAGAGATTTCAACGTGACCTGATCACCTTCAACGCGGCCGGTGATTTTGAGAAAATGCACGGCACTTCAGAACCAAAAACTTCAACAGAAACTGACAGAAACATCAACTTTTCGGATTTGGCAGAAGGAGGGTAGGGAGAAACTTCGAGAACATGTCAGAAGCACATCTGTGGGCATTCCAGCCACTGCCCTGCTGATCCCATTTGATCCCAAAGAAACGAGAACTGTGGTGCCTGGTGCATCCATGAGAACATCGGCAGGCGATGAGTGCCATGGCACGTGGCGGGCAGTGGCGACGAGCTCTTGCATTGTTAGAAGCCATGCCCCAAGAGATGCTGGAGACACCGGGCACGGGCGAGTCACACCGGGTTGGGAGAGCTGGGGGACCAGGTGACCAGGAGACCGTCATGACACAGGAAAGGATAGTTTTCGATGCAATGAGACTCTTCACACTGGACCGCCTGGAAATGGTCGCAGTTTCGAAAGCCCAGTTTGTTCATGCATTTTGCTGCTACCAACTGCTAGATTCTCGAAGAGGCTTTCTACCTTTTTCCTTGCCTTGCACGGCTTCCATTTCGGGGGCGTTATTCTATACATCACAGCCATAGCCGCTATAGCCCTCATCCCCTCATCTTCATCATCCAAGCTACATCCTGGTTCTCGTCATCATCATCTTCTTCTTCATCCTTGTCGTCACAATCATGAACATGATGAACATGACTTTCTCCTGAGCGTGACGGACATCGGTTTCTTTGGCGATGGTATCCCCACTGCTCGTGCTCAAAACTATTGACATCATGATGAACATGATCCCCATCATTGCCTTTGCATTCTGTTTGGTATCATCTGCATCAACTACATGCCATACGTTCAAGAAAAATGTGTTCGGCACTCTTCCTTTCATCACCACTGTCACAACTAGATACCTATCTGTTCCTACCCCACTTGCTCTGAAACGATCCTAAAGGCCAACTTGTGGAGAAAATGATGATTTCGGCAGGCACCATATGTTCAAAACATTTTTTAGTTAGAAAAAGACACTTGGGCAGGAAGGCGAGCCCCTCTGCCACCACACAGTGCTTTATCACTTTCCTTTCGATTTTTTGTATCCGGGATGAAATTCTTGCAGAGAGGCCATCTGTTCCTGCCTCTAGCGGGACAACCGTTATTCATGCCCATGCACTCTCTTTGCTTTGACACCCTCAACTCATGTACATGTCCAACACAACGGCCTTCTCCGGATGACACCTGATGCTATGTTCCCAAGCGAAGCATGTTCATAGTTGTGATGTCCGAAGTGCAGCAGGAGCCGGATCAAATTTCTTTCAATGCGGCGTTGGACGCTTGCTGCAAGGGTCAGGGCTTCCAGCTGGAGGCCGATGGGCGTCACGTCAAAGGCCAGCACCGTACACGATCGTACTCGGATGTGGCATGGGTCAGGACAGAAAGATGGGTGTACCCAGAAGATAACAGATAGGGCGCTGATTTTTTATGTGATTCTGAAGCAAGTGCAGAAAGTGTGAGTCCTTTGCAGGGTCGGCTTTCCGTTTCTTTGAGTTTTTACCTCTGTTTGCGACCGGTTCTTTCAAGTTTTATGGACAGGGTTGAGTTCCTTGCCGCAAGTAATTACTCCTGATCCCTGCCTGGTCAGATGCCGGAGCTTCATGGATGGCTGTATGAACATTGGCAATTATTGGATACATTGGATACTTAGCAGAAGATAGATTCCAACCTTGGGTTTCAATGGTACCCGGTGTCGAGTGTTGATGTACTTTGCAGGCCTTTCTCTTGAATCTTTGCACCGTGCACTTGTCACTTGAGTTTGTTTTGACCATTTCTTGCAGGCGCATGGGAAAGTGCCTCGTGCCTGCTGACAATGCTTCAAGCAAGTGGCTTCCAGGGCACGGTAATCACTGTCAACACTGCGCTGCTGGCATGCACCAAGGTAACATGGCTTGAAGGTGTGGAATTGCTCGTGCAAAGGAAACGGGCACTTTGTGATATTTCAGTGTATTCTGAGTGTATTTCTATGTGTTTCACCAGTTTCCGCGAAAGAAACCATCCCACAGCCCCCATAGCCCCCATAGCCGAAGTCGACAGCGCGAGGCTCAGCAGTGGAAGCTGGCTGTGGAGCTGGGACAGACTGCGAGCAACGCCGGCAACGCCATCAGCCGCAGTGTGGTGTCCAATGCTTGCAGAGTGGCCGGGCAGATGTCGTTGCTCAGAGAAGTGCTGGGTCAACTGGAGGAGGCCGGGAGGCTGAGTCGGTTGAGTCGGTCGAAGGGTTTACATTGATCTGATTGGTTGATGGTGGTTGCAACCGATTCTAACCGATCCGTTGAAAGCGTTTGCTTTGGGGCGGCTCAGACTAAGCGTGCCTCTGATTTTTCATTGGAAGCACCGCAGTTTGAAAGGACGGTCTGCAAGCCAACCTCTACCTCGCTGGTGACCATCCCAGGTGCCCTGACATTGATCTCGTGAGGTCAATGAGCCAATGAAAACGAAGATCACAAAGTAGAGGTAAATCTTCAGATGTTTTGTAGAGGTAAATTGCTGGTGGAAATAGGTGAGCTGACGGGGTCACTGACAGTAAAGTTGGCAAAGTAAAGCACATAGTCATCATAGGCTGTCTCATGCCAATCTCAGCTACGATGCAGCTGCATTTGAGACAGGGCACCATTTGTCGCCGCACCATGTGGTATGCCCCGAATCTTCAGGGGGTTTCACAGAAGAGGTGCCTGCACACGTAACGGGTCTAGGTCCATGTTGATTGCAGATGATTGTAGACGTCCAAGTCTTGCGTGTTGTGTTTGAACGAATTTGAGCGTTCTCAGGTGATGAATCGGATGATGAGGCATCACCAGAGTGTCATAGGACCCACCCGGAATCAGCGTCGATACGGAGTCATGCTCATGGCTGCAAGATGTTGCAAGTCCATGTGGAGATTGCAGGTTTATTTGGCTTCAATACTTGCAGGAAAACCGATCGGGAAGGCTAGAGGTGTGACGATGTTCAAGACATGGGACTGGACTGCTTGTGTTCAACGAGGGGCTCCATGTGCTGCCGATTGCATTGTTCAGTCGTCCTCGCCGCTCAAAAGACTCTGGTTCCATCGCTTGCATCGCAAAGATGGAACAGCAGTCTTTTGAGCGAGAGTCCAAGAGTCATTGCGCCATTTCTTCAGCAACACAGGCTCCTTGGCAGAACAGCGGCTGTTCTTTCATTCAATCTCTGTGCGGGCACAGGTCCATACAGGTCCTGATGCTTTGGGAACAGATTTTTCTTTGAAAACCTTCTTGCTAAGATTGAGTTGATCGCCAACAATTCCTCAAATGGTCCTCTTGTGTTCTGCAAGCGTTCTTTGTTATTGCCCAGATTCCACAGCACCCATCTGGATGAGATCTGTAAACCTCAACTGTCACGCAAAGCTGAAGCTTGTTGAGGCAACTTTGCAAATTCACTAGGATGCAAAGTGATCTGTGGATACTTTCAATCTTTAGGCAGAAAAAGGTGTGCTGCCCTGTTTGGAACCGAAAGCCTTGCGAGGATGATAGGTGCCGTGGAGAAAGGAAGAATGACTGCTCCACGCATTGGCTTTGCATTCTGCATTCAAATCGTGCGGTGCTGGTTTCATTTGTGGATCAGCTGTGACAGAGTCTCCACATTTGCAGCATTTGGGCTGCACTGGAGTGCTGTGGCAGTGTCACAAAGCCACGATTCCGACGATGGATGCTACGACTCTTTTGGAGGAGCTCGCGACAGTCGAAAGCATTCTTGACAGCGACATGACCAACATGTGCGGGAATATATCCTCCGGTTATTTAACGTAGCTATGGAAGATCACTTTTGTTCCATAGGTAGGTAATCATAAATCATATGTAAATGTGTCATTTTCCGTAGCTATGTGAAACAACCAGAGGGTATTTGAATAGATTACTATCATATGACTATTCGTGATGGTTTTGTCAGCAGATCAAAGCAGAATCCATCAAGTCGATCTCGCAAAGGAGCTTCGCAGGAGCCAAGATCGGTTGAGGAAGGAGGCCAGGACACAGTGTCCCGTCATTTGGCGAGGGCTGCTTGCGCTCAGTGTGATCAGCATGTATACTTTTGTAATCTTATCTCTTACTTACTTATATATATATGGTGTATCTGTATATAAATATAGAGAGAGAGAGAGGCGTGATTTCTGAAGATTCAAGCTTTTTTCATGGAAACCATGCAGTAGGAAGGATATGCATCTCTTCTGGGCTTCCAAACGGCTTCCACCACGAAAGAAAAGCACGATTTCATGCTCTTTGCGCAGGTGCTGAGCGGGCAGGCGATGATTCTCACAGAGATCAGGAGCCTGCACCAATTCTGGAAAGATCAGTTGGGCGCTGGACAAAGCCAGTTCCCCCAGTGACTTTCAAGTGACTCTGATGTGTTTGGCCAGACTAGATGGTTCTGTGTAGTTTGGCTGTGCCGGTATCCCTGGGCATCCCAGGTGATTTAAGGCTTTCTATGATTTGTTTCAATTTTTTTCAACCGTTGAATTCAACCCGTATGTTGTTTCTATGGCATGCGTGTTTCTGTTTCATGCCAAGGCTCTCCAGCTGAAGCAGCTGATGGCATTTCGACGGCCCGCAGCAGCCCTCGGGCGGATGATTAGAAAGGGTGCCATAGACGGCTGTGGAATGCTTTAGGAAAGGAACGGTTGCGATTTGTCTCCAATTTTTGACTGACTCCCGTTTTGGGATGATTAACAAATTGCTCCATCCAAAACACATTGAAACTGCCAACCACCTGCCAAGGTGAGAAATTCAACAGTGTGAACGAGGGTTTGTCCAAGGTTGGGACGCGGCAATGTTTGCAACATTTTGCAACCCAGTAAGGATCAAAAAAAACTCAACCAGGCACGACTCAACGGGTTTGATGAGCGACAGGAGCAATGTTCCGATTTTTGCAGTTGATCTGTCCTTCCTGAAACTGTCAGGGACTTGAAGACTTCACCAGCACCATGGTGTTTGGGCAGCACGAGTGCTAGGCTCTTCAGCAAAGGGATGTAAAATGCAAAAGTTCAACAAGTCCCCAAGTTGGTGTCGGTTGAGGTCAGTTACTGGTGGGGACCCAATCCACAAGCAACTTTTGTTTTTGAAGGGTCATCAACTCAGGTCAAAAATATTGAGGATTTGACATCAGTTTTTGCCGCCGATATTGAACGGCGTGCGCTTGCAGCCAGGCCGCCCAATCCTCAGGTGGCAGATCGGCAGTCTTGAGAAAGAGGAGACTGGTGGTCCATTTTCACAGATCAATAATCAATAAAAAGATTTAATCCTCAATTTGTTGGAATCTTCCTCTGGGGATTCTTTGGCACTCAGGAAACGGGAAGGGCAGCAGGTCCGCTTTGACGACACTCCTGCTCTTCCGAGCTACTCCAGTGCAGCTGGTGGGGCCGCGATGGAAGAATCTCCGATACCATCAGACACCACGCATCGAACATTGGCAGCTTGTCGAACTAGACTTTCACAGTGTTTCAGATTCAGTGCATGCGAGGGTTGCCATGTCTTGCTGTTTTGGCATGCTGAATCTTTGCCACTCGGAAACTTAGTTAGCTCTTGACAACGCACTACTAGCCTTGTTACCGAGTTGTTATCGAATTGTTTTCAACAATTTCAACCAATCCCTATCAACACGAAATCAACACCCTGCGCCGTGCCAGAGGCATCGCATCCACGGGCTCCAGATCCAGCAAGGCCACTGACGCAAGCGACGCAAGCGACGCAAGCGACGCAAGCGACACTGCAGGCTGATGGCGAACCAAGGCGCGAGACCTCAGGGCCTCAGGGGCGGTTCGCTTGGCGTGCCGCTTTCACACCTAATCACGAAAGCTAGCGTCAGCTAGCTGGAGTCTTCTTGCTTTAGCAAGTATTGGGGGGGCTGCTCAAGGACATCACGTGATTTTTCACGCGAAAGGGGGCCCCCCCCCTCCCCCACCACCACCACCATCACCACCATCACCACCATCATCATCATCATCGTCATCATCATCGTCATCATCATCGTCATCATCATCGTCATCATCGTCATCGTCCTCTCCATCGTCCTCGTCCTCGTCATCATCATCATCATCATCATCGTCGTCATCATCATCATCGTCCTCGTCATCGTCATCGTCATCGTCATCATCATCATCGTCATCATCATCATCATCATCTCGTCATCATCATCATTACCTATCATCATCATCATCATCATCATCATCATTCATCATTCATCATTCATCATTCATCATTCATCATTCATCCATCATCATCATCATCATCGTTATTCAATTACATTTTATCATTATTGGCAATTATTGTCATTATCACGAAAGCTAGCGTCAGCTCGCTAGAGTCTTCTTGCTTTAGCACGTATTCCGGGGCTCCCCAAGGACATCACGTGATTTTTCCCGCGAAAGGGCCCCCCCCTGCCCCCTCCCCCATATATATCATTGTTATATATCATATATCAATATATCATTGTTGCATCCTCGTTGGGACGAACAATGCCGCGACACGATGATGACAGTCCCTCCGCAACTCACCTCTTCCCTTCCCCCGGGGGGGGGGGGGGGGGGGGTTTTGCTCTTACCCACCCACCGCTACTTTCTTCTCCCACCCCCTCCTCAGTGTTTGACATCTATGTCTCATGTTGCTATGTCTGCTTGACAACTTTGGAAAATCTTGGCAACCACGATTCGGCAATGGTTCCAATTTCCCGCTCAGGTCGAGCCCACCGGTGACGTTGGGCAAGACCACATGTTGGGTTGACGGAAACGTTGCTGAAAAAGCATTCTGGCGCGATCTATCAGACACTGGTTTGCCCTCTAGGTGAAAGGTGCTAGAAAATCAGTTATTCCCGGGAGCGCCTGCGAAGGGTTTTCTTCGTAAAAAAGCAGCCGTTGTAATACACTTCACACAAGGAACCCTCACTCACATCTGCTGATCTACATCTTCACACCTTCACATCTGCTGATCTACATCTTCACACCCTCACATCTGCTGATCTACATCTTCACACCTCACATCTGCAGATCTACATCTTCACACCCTCACATCTGCAGATCTACATCTTCACACCCTCGCATCTGCAGATCTACATCTTCACACCCTCACATCTGCAGATCTACATCTTCACACCCTCACATTTGCTGATCTACATCTTCACACCTTCACACCTGCTGATCTACATCTTCACACTCTCACATCTGCTGATCTACATCTTCACACCTTCACATCTGCTGACCTGCATCTTCACACCTTCACATCTGCTGATCTGCATCTTCACACCTTCACATCTGCTGATCTACATCTTCACACCCTCACACCTGCTGATCTACCTCTTCATACCCTCACATCTGCTCATCTTCACACCCTCACACCTGCTGATCTACATCTTCCCACCTGCACATCTGCAGATCTACATCTTCACACCCTCACATCTGCAGATCTACATCTTCACACCTTCACATCTGCAGATCTACATCTTCACACCTTCACATCTGCAGATCTACATCTTCACACCTTCACATCTGCTGATCTACATCTTCACACCTTCACATCTGCTGATCTACATCTTCACTGATCTACATCCTCACACCTTCACATCTGCAGATCTACATCTTCACACCTTCACATTTGCAGATCTACATCTTCACACCTTCACATCTGCAGATCTACATCTTCACACCCTCACATCTGCAGATCTACATCTTCACACCTTCACATTTGCTGATCTACATCTTCACACCCTCACATCTGCTGATCTACATCTTCGCACCTTCACATCTGCAGATCTACATCTTCACACCTTCACATCTGCAGATCTTCTCTCTCTCGCTCTTCTTTCTATCTCTCTCTTAAGGCGGGGGCGGTGCCGCCGGAGCGCCACGAAACGCAACCCTTTCGCACGAAATGGACGTTGGACGTCAAAAACTGAGGTAAATTTGTGATTTTAGTTAGTCCATCGCAACCCTTTCGCACAAAATGAACGTTGGACGTCAAAAACTGATGTAAAATTGCGACGTCAAAAATTGAAGTAAAATTGCGATTTTGAGGTGTCAATCGCATCCCTTACACGCGAAATGAGGTTCGATCGCTAAAACCTGAGGTAAAATTGCGATTTCACGGGTCCGGTCTCTGTATGTGAAAGTGTTTGTGTGTAAAAGCTTCTGTGTGTGAAAGCTTCTGTGTGTGTGTGTGCAAAAGCCTCTGCATGTAAAAGCGTCTGTGTGTAAAAATGTCTGTGTGTAAAAACGTTTGTGTGTAAAATGGTCTGTGTGTAAAAGCGTCTGTGTGTAAAAGCATCTGTGTGTGAAAGCGTCTGTGTGTAAGAGCTTGTGTGTGTAAAAGCATCTGCGTGTAAAAGCGTCTGTGTGTAAAAGTGTCTGTGTGTAAAAGCGTCTGTGTGTAAAAGGGTCTGTGTGTAAAAGCGTCTGTGTGTAAAAGCATCTGTGTGTAAAAGCGTCTGTGTGTAAGAGCTTGTGTGTATAAAAGCGTCTGTGTGTAAAAGCTTCTGTGTGTAAAAGCGTCTGTGTGTGAAGGAGTCTCTATGTAAAAGCTTCTGTGTGAAAAGTGCCTCTGTTTGTAAAGGAGTCTGTGTGTAAAAGCGTTTGTGTGTAAAAACGTCTGTGTGTAAAAGCTTCTGTGTGTAAAAGCATCTGTGTTTGAAAGCATCTGTGTGTAAAAGCGTCTGTGTGTAAAAGCTTCTGTGTGTAAAAGCCTCTGTGTGTGAAAGTGTGTGTGTGTGTGTAAAAGCATCTGCGTGTAAAAGCGTCTGTGTGTGTAAAAGTGTCTGTGTGTGTGTCTGTGTGTAAAAGCTTCTGTGTGTAAAAGCGCGGAGTCTCTGTGTAAAAGCTTCTGTGTGTAAGTGCCTCTGTCTGTAAAAGCGTCTGTGTGTAAAAGCGTCTGTGTGTAAAAGCGTTTGTGTGTAAAAGCTTCTGTGTGTAAAAGCGTCTGTGTTTGGAAGCGTCTGCGTGTAAAGGAGTCTGTGTGTAAAAGCTTCTGTGTGTAAAAGCGTCTGTGTGTAAAAGCGTTTGTGTGTAAAAGCGTCTGTGTGAAACAGTCTCTGTGCAAGCGTCTGTGTGTAAAAGCCTTTGTGTAAAAGCGTCTGTGTGTAAAAGCCTCTGCGTGTGAAAGTGTTTGCCTGTAAAAGAGTCTGTGTGTAAAAACGTCTGTGTGTAAAAGGGTCTGTGTGTAAAAGCGTCTGTGTGCAAAAGCGTCTGTGTGTAAAAGCTTCTGTGTGTAAAAGCGTCTGTGTGTAAAAGCCTCTGTGTGTAAAAGCCTCTGTGTGTAAAAGCGGCTGTGTGTAAAAGTGTCTGCGTGTAAAAGTGTCTCTGTGTAAAAACGTCTGTGTGTAAAAGTCTCTGTGTGTAAACGCGTCTGTGTAAGCGTCTGTGTGTAAAAGCGTCTGTGTGTAAAAGCCTCTGTGTGTGAAAGTGTCTGTGTGTGTAAAAGAAAAGCGTGTGTGTGTGTAAAAGCTTCTGTGGGTAAAATTGCCAAAAGTGTCTATGTGTAAAAGTGTCTGTGTGTAAAAAGCCTCTGTGCGTGAAAGTGAATGACACATATTATTTCATCTTATTACGGTACCATGATGTTATAAATCACATATGTGACAATACTTCACTAGTGAAAAATGTCTGCAAATGTTTGCAACAGAATTCGATGCCGTCATGTGCTTGATGTCAAAAACAGAAAAGTTTGATTTTAGGACCATAAAATGTCATTGAGAGGTACTCGTCAAAAAAACAGCATCGTTGTATGGTCACAACCTTGGTCTAGCGCGTATGGTCTGAAAGCAGTTCTATTGCTGTAGTGAACGACACAATCAGTTGAATGCCAACACAGTAGTTGCAATACTTTGCTCGAGAAATGTCTATATTTGTGTAAAAGCGTCTGTGGGTAAAAAGGTCTGTGTGTAGAAGCGTTTGTGTGTAGAAGCTTTTGTGTGTAAAAGCGTTTGTATATACAAGCCTCTGTGTAAAAGTTTCTGTGTGCAAAAAGCCTCTGTGTGTGAAAGTGTGTGCGTGGTAGTATCTGTGGGTAAAAGTGTCTGTGTGTAAACGCCTCTGTATGTGAATGTATGAGTGTAAAAGAAAAGTGTGAATGTAAAAGCGTTTGTGTGTAAAAGCGTCTGTGTGTAAAAGCGTCTGTGTGTAAAAGTGTTTGTGTAAAAGTGTCT